TTACTGCTACCTGGGGAATGAGGTTAGGCAGGCTCAGCTGCGTTCTCAGGAACCATCCAAGGAGAGGAGACAGACAGGCAAGAGAGCCACTGTTCTGTTGAATGCCTATTATGGATGTCCTGGGAATCATGCTAACTCCTTTACATACATCCCTTTACCTAATCCTCACGAGACTCTGTGGCAGGTACTGTCATGATCCCCATTTCACAGATGAAAACCTGGAGGATTTAGGAGGTTGGGTGAATTGCCTAAGGCAGCCCACATGGTCAGGGGTGGTCCCGAGGTGAAGCTTCTACTGGAGCCCGTCTCCTCTCAGCTGCCCCTGACACCTCCCTTACTATGATTTTTCCCTTCTCTGTCCTGAAAGGCAGGGGTCAGGCTAAGTCTGTCTCTGACAAAGCATAAAGGGAAAGACATTTTTGATTAACAATATTTATGGGAAGATGCCATTTTCGTGTGTTTCTCTGTGCAAGAAATGCCATTTGGAAAGCCGGTGTGCATGTCAGTATTTTTTTTTTTCATTCTGAGAAAAAGCCTATAGAGTCTGGTGGGGGGAGGGTTTGCAGCTGGCAGGAGCTTTGGCATATGTTGTAACTAAAAAGAGAGGGAATGTGTTGGTGGGACAAGCTACCGGAGAGCTGTCTCGGTGTGCTGCGGTACTAGTAAGCGTTTTAATTGGGTAGGATTTTTGGAGGACTATTTTGACATCTGCTCGTGTCTTTGCTGATTTTTCTTCACTTAGAGTAGGAAACACAAGCTGTGGATAAAATGACTTTAAAATAATTGGAAGTAAAGATGTCTCTCTCGAAGTCGAATTTGAAAGGGACACTTTTTAAGAAGTGGAAAGTAAATTCCACTTCTAGGAATCCATTCTAAAGCACAAAGCTTTTTGCCTATAGATTTCACAAAAATAGTATATATGATAATTTCTTAAAAACTGGAAATAACTGCCAACAAAAGGGGCTTGGTTAGGTTGGTTTCCATGAAGTGGAACATTTTGTAGCAATTAGTAATGATCTTTACAAAGCTTTTAATGAAGTGGAGCATTGCTTATGTTGTAATAAGTGAGAAAATCAGAAAGAAACATTAAGAATTTTTTCATCTGTGTTTTAAAAAGTAGGGATTGGAGCGAAGGGATATGGAGGAAAATACACCAAAATGTTATCTCCAAATGGAGGGATTCAGGTAACTGTAATTTTCTTCTTTGAACTTTTCTATCTTTCCCATTATTTTTACTGGAGGCGTATGTAATTTTTATGATATAGGAGGCAGGTGATATTTTGTGTAAGAAGCAGCAGGTGTAACTGCGTGCCCTACGCACGTGCTTGTTCTGAAGGCTGAGCCATTGGATTTGAGATGTCTTCAGAAGGAGTTAGGCCTTTGAGTTAGATTGGTTCAAAAGTCAGCTCTGCCGCTCACTAGTTGTGTGATTTTGAGCCGTTTATTTGGCATCTCTGAGCCTCATTTCCTCATCCTTGTTATGGAGGTGCTAGTGTCTCCTTCACAGAGTGGTTAAGATTCAGTGGGCTGGCACCCAGTAACGGTCCAGCTTTCTTCTCCACCAACACTTCCCACCGCCACCCCCAGTTTGAGGGTGTTTTTTTTTTTTCTTTTTTGCCTTTCTTCATTGCCCTTGTTTTCCTTGAGCCTTTCAGGGATAAGGCACCATCCGGCCGAGCTGGCCTGATTCTTTCCTTGGGAACACTGAGCTTCAGGAAGGCCCTTGAGTCTACGCCAGGCCTTTTGGAAGAGGCCTTGCCACCGGGAGAGCAGTATTGTCCTGTAAGAGGAAACTGTGCGACCCAGCTCCTGCCTGGAGCCTGGTGCTCGGGGATTTTGGTTACTAAGAGGACCCTGGCCTGCTAAGTCAGAAAAAAGGGCCAGGTTTTTTCCTCTTCTTCAGCTTGCTGCCATTGTTGAAAAAGTAAACACTCCACACAGCTTAACGGGTGAGTCCTCCAGCCAGGAGTGGGAAGAAATCAAAAGCCTGTTCCAGCCCAGCCGTGGAGAGCCCACAAGGGCTGGTCTGTGCTGCTGGGGCCCCGCTGGGTACGCAGAAACAACACCCAATTCTGGTCCAGAATCAACATCCCATTCGCTGGGCCTTTCAACCCTGAGGCCTCTCTCCACTGGCCGGGCACCCTGCCCCCTTCTGTTTGGGTCTATTCTGAGGGTCAGATGAGGCAAAATAGGCTATTCTGGGGTGCAGTGGCCCTCAGCTCAGTCCTCGAGGCCTGGAGTCCTGGAGTTGTGTAGCCCCTCATGGCCCCTTCTCCAGTGTCATTTCTAGTGTCTCAGCCTTGAAGTAAGAGCCCAACAGTTATCAAGAAGGGGCCAGAGGATTTTTGCCCTTAGGCCATTGCCACTACAGCTTTCAGACTGGCTGGAGCTGATGTGTATATTGTGAAAGTAATAATAGTAGCTACTATTTATAAGTCCTGCTGTTGCCCAGCACTGCGCACATATTACCTCTGATCCTCACAGCAGCCCAGGGGGAGGTGGGATAAGGAAGGCGGTCACAGTTACCTCCTCAATTTTACAGATGAAGAAGCCAATTAGTATCCACATACCCTGGGGCAAGCTGCTTCACCTCTCTGAGCCTCAGTTTCTTGTCTCTGAAATGGGGATGGTGATACCTCTCTTCCAGCTACATTGTTGAAAATGAAAGAATCTGTGTGAAAGTGCTGTGTGAACTTTGAAGTGTGATATAAGTGAAAGAGATTGTTGTTGAGGCTATTGTAGTAACTTACTGCTAGGTATTTAACCTCTTAGATTGAAAAATGAGGCAGCTAAGGAGCCCTGGGCAATTTACCATGAGTCCTAATATTCTCATCTGTAAAATGGGGATTGTGCTTTGTAAAACAAGTGTGTAAAACATTAGCGATTTATATTATTATCAGTACTGTTTGCTGAGAGCTTTTTACTCTGTAAATAAGGCAGGCAGTTAATGTGAGTGTTGGGGTTTGGAGGGGAGAATAAACTTTTAAGGAGGTATCTTGTCCGTCCTCTGCAGCTCTGAGCCCCTAGTACACACTTAGGAAATGTTCACGAATTGATTGATGGCTTTGTGGACTAGCCCCTGGTGGCCTGGAGAAGTCGATAGCAGAAGGAGTTGGAAGCTTCTGATCTTGTCAAGTGGGAGGGTTCAAGGATTCCGCCACCTGGAATTGTTTTTTCAGCCCTAAGAGTATTTTGACCAGCATAGCTCTATCCTCCTCCTGGAAGGATCTCAAAATGTTTACTTAGGTACCAAGTTCTATCCTAGAGAGCACACATCAACCAATATTAATGAGCACTTACCATGGGCCAGTGATTTTGTTGAGTGCTGGTTATTATGTAGTAGAGAGCCAAACAGAGGAGCCTCTGATGGAGCCCACTCCCCACTGGGGAAGCAGGCAGACAAAGGGATGCTGGAGCTCAGGGTGACAAGAATGTGCAGAGGTCAGGCTCCCTGAGAGTATCTAATGACAAGGAGGGTGAAGGTGCAGTGCAAAGAGTATGGGCTGTGGAGATGGCCAGTGCTATGTTACCTTACCTCTCTGAACCTCATTCTCCTCAAGTTACATAAAATGAGAGTAATGATGTGTGCTTTGCAGAGTTTGGTAAGAATTAAATGTGATAAAGTTACTAAAGCATAGAGCAAGCACTACTAGGCTTCTTGTGCATTGCAGTTGTCCGTTTCCAAGACATTAGCAAACTTAGACTTTAGCAGCTGTTGGGATGTCCAGCTCCAGTACTAGCCTATATGGTGTTCTAGGGTGAATTAGGAAAAGGCCTCTCCTCCCTTCTACTACTCACTGCCACCCTGACTGATGCCACTCAATGGGCATACGAGTTGGCAGATTTCAGTCCCAACTTGACTGGCCGGATGTCCTTGGGCAGTGCACACCTACACGGTCATATGCAGTGGCTCACAGCATAGCTAATAATGCAATTGTTCCCTTGCATATAGGGTGATCTTATGTCCCATTTTATGCCTGTTGCCCTGTCATAACATGCTCCCTTTCACATCCACAAGTGTCCCAGTTTGGACAACAAATTGTAGGATCTTTTTACTTAACCAGGGAGAAATGACATAAAGACAACAGTTCTGAAGTTCTAGACTCTAAAGGGATGAGCTTTGGTATATGATGGGGTAAGAGAATTGAATGAGATGGGAAGTGATAGGTAGGCAGGGGAAAAATGGAGATGGATTCTAGCAGTGGGTAAATAGTTTGATTAGAAATTAAAACCTCAGGTCACAAACAACCTTGTTCTTCCACAGACTGTGGAGAGTTGCTCCCAGAGGGTGGGCTCTTCTTTTCTCCACATCGTGCCTCCATCCCTTCTCTCACCAAACATGAACACCTAATAGGCACGAGTCTCCCTTACTCTTTCTATTACTGTACCAATAGCATAATGTCTTATGGCTAGAGCCTCTGAGCCGTGATTCACTAGCTGGATTTCTATGGAAAATGGAACCACATTGAAAGTGTGACTGTCCTACTTAATGTTTAAGAGAAATGTTAACATGTTATCACTAGGCCCTATGCCATATTCCATACCCAAGAATGGCAAGATCCAAAAGAGAGATGGGCAAGTAGACTTCAGTAAATAGAGGAGGTGGATTGAATGTGAGTGTCATAGGAGCCCAGCTGTATATCAGAGTTCCTGGGGCCAGAGCTTTAGACCTCAGCTTCTTCTTTTTTTTTTTAATTGTAAAGTATAGGAAAAAAATAATGTTGGGGTATAAAGATCTCTCTTCCTATCTGTGTGACTTGGGGCATGTCTCTGGGAAACCCTTTCCACTCCTGGGGCTTGGGGATGATTGTATAAGCTCGCGGTTTTTATGACAGTTAAATGGCCTAGCAAATGTGAATCACCTAGCATTGGGCCTGCCACAGAGTAAGCCTTTGTCATATGTCACTTTTCTTCTTCCTCTTCCCTGGCGAAGGCCAGGGGAAATGTCTCTCCTTATGGTGCTTCAATGCCTTTCTGTTCTGGATTTTTTTTACTTACAGAAAGTCAGAAACATGGCCCTGGATGATGTCGTGATCCTGAACGTGGATACCAACACCCTGGAAACCCCCTTTGATGACCTCCAGAGCCTCCCAAATGACGTGGTGGGTAATGAGCTCTTGAGGTTCTGACTCTTGTGAGCTTGTGTGGTGGAAATGAACATGACTTTGGGGAGGGGAGGAAGGGGGACAGCTGTGGTTCTCCTAGGGTCTAAGAACTGCATTTGTTCTCTGCTGCCTCTGGAACCTTTGTCTCAGTGTAGACAGGTGGGAAGTGGTTCATTTTTTTAGCCTTGTTTTGCCCTCATAACTTTCATCTGAAAACTGGGAAGTGATCCCAGGGTCTAGACAGCTCTTCTTTCTGTGGCAGCCAGGGGTCTTGCCATCCCTCTCTAGTACATCACGATGTCCAGAGAGCAGGACAGCTTCCCCTGAGTGACACCACAGAAGGTGGGTGGAGGGCTTTCAGTGTGAGCAATTTGGGGCACTCACACGTACCTTTTTTTCCTGGGCCGTCATCAAACACAGCCATTTCCCATGTAGCAGCATATCTGCTGCCAGTGCTCTGAATGTGGTTCCATGTCCCCTAAATCTGTCTTCGTTATCTCAGGTCTAGACAGAATGTCGGCTATATTTAGCAAAAAGCAACTGGCTGCCGCATTTGCCAGGCTAACATCTGACCACACACCTGTCTCATGTGCTACTCAGAGCTGCCTCATGGGCGGCTATTTGAAGTAGACCCAGTCTTCCCCCATCGTCCATACAAATGAGGAGGATTGAGATTCACTGGGAAGTATGGTTTTGATGTTTTGGTTTGACTTCCATGGCTCTGCCCGCTGGAAGATCTATAAAGTTATTCTGGCTTCTAGGCTGGAAGGAAGGAGTATTCCTGGCTGTGTGTACTGATATGGGGCTGGGTTTGTGTTGTGGCAGGTGGGCACTGCTCTTCCATTACTGCCAGGAGTACCCGTGACACCTGGAGATTAGCCATTGGGAAGAGACTGCTGTTTATTGATGAAAGGCTTGCAACAGGGTTTCAAACTCCTCTACTCTTACTCACTCTGAGATTTTGGGGGAGTCATTTGTGCTCCGTAAAGATGTTCCATTTGTAGCATAATTAAACGATGGCTACCATTCATTGACTTACTATGTGCTAAGCACTCATCATTGATTTCTCATTTCCTCTTCACACCACTCTGAGGAAGGTATTTTTCTTATCCTCACTTTACCCGCAGAGCTAGAAAGAGGGGGAGCCAAGAAGTGAACCCGACTCTGTCCCTCCGGAGAGCCACCCAGCACCCCTGCGTCTCTAGGTGCCTTTGCATTCAGGATCTCATTCCTTAGCACGAGAGCCCCATGGAGCAGGTGTTCTCTGCTTTTCACAGGGAGAGAACCTCACAGAGCACGTGCCTTGCCTCAGATCATACGGCTGGCTGGGTCAGAGCTGAAATTGGGACCCTAATCTGGACAACACCAAAGCCCGTGCTGCCTCCACTCAATAGACACTGCCCCGCCTGAGGCAGAGAGAAATGACAGAAGTAGGAAAAATAGAAGTACCAGACACTGTGAGGTTTCTTGTTTGTCATGTCAGGACAGGGGACATCGTTGGTATCTTAGGGTCTCCTGGCTATAATTTGAGTTCTTTTGGTCCAAGGAATCTGAAGTTTCCACGCTGGTTCCCTTTCAGTGGAATCGCTCTCCCTTCAAGCCATGGGTGTCTTAGGTATGGACTTCGCAACTGCTGAGTGAATGTGGTAAGTGAGCCTGAGGTGTATCAAGTGCAAGAAATGGCTGGGGGCCCTGGGGAAGCCCAGGATGAGTGACTGGTGGCTCAGAAACCCTGGAGTGGACTAATGGGTCCCAAGTGCAGTGCTCTGACCCACGGCTGGGCATTGAACAGCACAGATAAAGTAGATCTACTTTCCTTCAAAGAGCATGTTCCAGTAGGGGAAAGAGTGTATAAATGACATTTATCTCATGGTATAGCATAATAGAGGCCACAAAGAAAATAGGAATCATGCACAGGAGGGCCCAGGTGTGACAAAATTTGGGGGAGGGTAATGGAGGCTTCCTGAAGGTGGCACATTCCAAGATGTCTTTTTTTTTTTATTTAGAGTTTTATTTATTAATTTTTTTGGTTTTATTGAGGTCATAATAGTTTATAACATTGTGAAATTTCAGCTGTACATGATTATTTGTCAGTCACCATATAAATGTGCCACTTCACCCCTTGTGCCCACCCCCTAAGTCCTTTCTCCTTTGGTAACCACTAAAGTGTTCTCTTTGTCCGTGTGTTAGTTTGTCTTCCACATATGAGTGAAATCATATGGAGTTTGTCTTTCTCTGTCTGGCTTATTTTGCTTAGCATAATACTATCAAGGTACATCCATGTTGTTGTGAATTGGATGATTTTGTCTTTTTTTATAGTTGAATAGTATTCCATTGTATATTCCATTCCCGATACGCTATATATATATACACACCACATCTTCTTTATCCAGTCATCAGTTGACGGGCACTTAGGTTGCTTCCACGTCTTGGCTACTGTGAATAATGCTGCAGTGAACATAGAGGTGCATAAATCTCTTTGAATTGTTGATTTCAAGTTCTTTGGGTAAATACCCATTAGTGGGATAGCTGGGTCATGTGGTATTTCTATTTTTAATTTTTCAAGGAATCTACATACTGTTTTCCATAGTGGCTGAACCAGTTTGCATTCCCACCAGCAGTGTATGAGGGTTCCCTTTTCTCCATATCCTCTCCCACCTTTGTTATTTTTTGTCTTGGTTATTATAGCCATTCTGACGGGTATAAGATGATATCTAAGTGTAGTTTTGATTTGCATTTCCCTAGTGATTAGTGATGTTGAACATCGTTTCATGTGCCTATTGGCCGTCTGTATACCTTCTTTGGAAAAATCTCTGTTTGTATTCTCTGCCCATTTTTTGATCAGGGTGTTTCTTTTTTTGTTGTTGACTTGTATGAGTTCATATATTTTGGAGATTAACCCCTTGTTGGATATGGGATTTGCAAATATTTTCTCCCAGTTGGTAGGTTGTCTTTTTGTTTTGTTCCTGGTTTCCTTTGCCTTGCAGAAGCTCTTTAGTCTGGTGAAGTCCCATTTGTTTATTTTTTTTGTTTCTCTTGTCCAAATAGACATGGTATTCAAAAAGATCCTTCTAAGACAAATGTCAAAGAGTGTACTGCCTATGTTTTCTTCCAGGAGTTTTATGGTTTCAGGTCTTACCTTCAAGTCTAATCCATTTTGAGTTAATTTTTATGTATGGCAAAAGATAATGGGCTACTTTCATTCTTTTGCATGTGGCTGTCCAGTTTTCCCAGCATCGTTTATTGAAGAGACTTTCCTTTCTCCATTTTGTGTTCTTGGCTCCTTTGTCAAAGCTTAGCTGTCCATAGGTGTGTGATTTTATTTCTGGGCTTTCAATTCTGTTCCGTTGATCTGTGTGCCTGTTTTTGTACCAGTACCATGCTGTTTTGATTACTATAGCTTTGTAGTATATTTTGAAGGCAGGGATTTCATGCCTCCAGCTTTGTTCTGTTTTCTCAGTATTGCTTCAGCTATTCGGGGTCTTTTGTTCCCCTATATGAGTTTTAGAATTCTTTGTTCTATTTCCATGAAGAATGTCATTGGGATTCTGATTGGGATTGCATTGAACCTGTAGATTGCTTTAGGTAGTCCAGACATTTTAACTATATCTATTCTTCCAATCCATGTGCATGGAATATCTCTCCATTTCTTTATGTCATCATCAATTTCTTTCAATAACGTCTTATAGTTTTCATTGTATGGGTCTTTCTACTCCTTGGTTAAATTTATTCCTAGATATTTTATTCTTTTGGTTATGATTGTAAATGGGATTCTAGTCTTAAGTTCTTTTTCATTTAGTTCGTTATTAGAGTATAGAAATGCAACTGATTTTTGTAAGTTGATTTTGTACCCTGCAACTTTGCTGTAGTTGTTCATTATTCCTGGTAGTTTTCCAATAGTTTCTTTAGGGTTTTCTATATATAAAATTGTGTCATCTGCAAACAGTGAGAGTTTCACTTCTTCATTGTCTATTTGGATTCCTTTTATTTCTTTTTCCTGCTTAATTGCTCTGGCCAATACCTCCAGTACTATGTTGAATAAGAGTGGCGAGAGCAGGCACCCTTGTCTTGTTCCTGTTCTCAGAGGGATGGCTTTCAGTTTTTCCCCATTAAGTATGATGTTGGCTGTGGGTTTGTCATGTATGGCCTTTATTGTGTTGAGATGCTTTCCTTCTGTACCTGTTTTATTGAGATGTGGATCTTGATCCTATCAAATGCTTTCTCTCTGTCTACTGAGATGATCATGTGGTTTTTATTTTTCATTTTTGTAATGTGGTGTACCACATTGATTGATTTGCGGAAGTTGAACCATTCCTGCATCCCTGGTATAAACATCATTTGGTCATGGTGTGTGATCTTTTTAATGTATTGCTGTCTTCGGTTTGCCAATATTTTGTTGAGGACTTTTGCATCTATGTTCATCAGCAATATTGGCCTATAGTTTTCCTTCCTTGTGTTGTCCTTGTCTCACTTTGGGATCAGGGTCAAGTTGGCATTGTAAAATGTGTTAGGAAGTATTCCGTCTTCTTCAATTTTTTGGAATAGTTTGAGAAGGACAGTTGTCACATCTTTGAATGTTTGGTAGAATTCTCCAGAGAGGGGCCGGCCCGGTGGCGCAGCAGTTAACTTCCCATGTTCCGCTTCTCGGTGGCCTGGGGTTCACCAGTTCAGATCCTGGGTGTGGACATGGCACCACTTGGCACACCATGCTGTGGCATCCCACATATAAAGTAGAGGAAGATGGGCCGGTGTTAGCTCAGGGCCAGGCTTCCTCGGCAAAAAGGAGGAGGACTTGCAGTAGTTAGCTCAAGGCTAATCTTCCTCGAAAAAAAAAAAAAAGAATTCTCAAGAGAAGCCATCTAGTCCTGGATTTTATTTTTTGGGAGGTTTTTGATTACTGTTTCGATCTCTTTACTTGTGATTGGTCTATTTAGATTCTCTTTTTCTTCTTGATTCAGTTTTGGGAGGTCATAGGAGTCTAAGAATTTATCCATTTC